TAGTGTTGCAAATCTTGCTTTTGCCTAGTATATTTTTGCACATCTCTTTCATTAATTCTTGCTTCATTTTTGGAAGAGTAATATACATACGGGGTACAAATATCAAAAGGTACAATACAGTCTGGGCACAGTGTTTCATGCCTGTATAAAAATAAAAATGATAGACTAGCCTGGCCAATATGGTGAAACTCCATCTCTACTAAAAATACAAAAACTAGCAGATGGCACACACCTGTAGTCCCAGCTACTTGGGAGGCTGAGGCAGGAGAATCACTTGAGCCCAGGAGGCAGAGGTTGCAGTGAGCCAAGATTGTGCCACTGCACATCAGCCTGGGCAATAGAGGGGGACTCCATCTCAAAAATAAATAAATAAACAAATTTTTTTTAAAAATTAAAATTAAAAAATAAATAAAATAAAATAAAAAGATAACAGCCCTTTCCCAAAACAAACCTCCTTCTTGCCTGGGGACTATACTGCTTTTGTAGGACTAACAAACTAGCCAAAAGATTAGAAATTATGGTTTAGGAGTCATGCAGGTGGAGGCTACAAAATTCTTACCTTCCCTAAACTGCTCCTAAGATCAGTGCTTAAGGTATTTTGCAGACCCTGCACTTAATGGATCAGCTGGCCAGCAAGATTGATAAACCGGCTCATCTGATCTTGTGGCCCTGACCCAGGAACTGACTCAGCACAAGAGGACAGCTTCGACATCCCATGATTTCATCTCTGATCTGACCAATCAGCACTCCTGGCTCACTGGCTTCCCCCAACCCACCAAGTTGTCTTTAAAAACTCTGATCCCCGAATGCTCAGGGAGGCTGATAAAATTCCAGTGTCCCACACAGCCGGCTCTGCATGAATTACTCTTTTTCTATTGCAGTTTCCCTGTCTTGATAAATTGGCTCTGTCTAGGCAGCAGGCAAGGTGAACCCAGTGGCGATTACAGATCCTTGAATTTCACTAGGCTATGTCTAAATGTGCGTTTTCACTAATCTTCTCTGTGTCTCAGTGACCTTTTCCGATGTGAATATTTAAATCTTTCTTCTGCTTGGGGAACTTTTTCTAGGATATAAGTAACACTCTACTTACTCTCTTCCATCTGTTCTTTTTCTGTTCAGGCATTTCTGCTGTTCACAAGTTGGGTCCCATGGATCTGTTTTCTAAACTGTCTTTCTCTCTTCCAGCTTCCATTTTTCTGTGGCTTGGCTTTGTGTTGTGACCAATCTTTCAGACACCAATTCAGTTTTCAGGAGTGACCATTTCTATTCTCAGTTCATCTACTTAATGTTTTCATTAAAAATGGTTTTTAATTTCATGAAGTCTTTTTTTATTTTCTATTTTTTGAAATGGAGTCTTGTTCTATTGCCCAGGCTGGAGTGCAGTGGCACAATCTTGGCTCACTGCAACCTACACCTCCTGGGTTCAAATGATTCTCCTGCCTCAGCCTCCCAAAGTAATAATAATCCCAGTGTAGCTGGGATTACAGGTGCACGCCACCGTACTGGCTAATTTTGTATTTTTAATAGAGATGGGGTTTCACCTTTTTGGCCAGGTTGGTCTTGAACTGCTGACCTCGGGTGACCCACTTGCCTCGGCTTCCCAAAGTGCTGGGATTACAGGCATGAGCCACTGCATCCAGCCTCATGAAGTCTTTTAAGTGTTTTAATCACATGTCCTAGAAATTATCTTCCCTCCTTTCTTAATCCTACTTCAGAAGGAGTCCTTGTCCTCAATATTCATATTGGTCATTGACATGGTTTATTTTATTTTATTTCATTTCATTTCATTTCATTTATAGAAATGCAGTCTTGCTCTGTCTCTCAGGCTAGAGTGCAGTATAATCACAGTTCGTTT